TTCTCGCCCCGCGCCCATGGATTCTCCGATTGGGTATCCGCGACAGCTTTGTGCAGAGATTTGCTGATGTTCAGCATTTCGGCGACAACCGGGAGACGCTCGGCAGTGTAGCTCTGAAGCAGGGCGGGGGATGCGTGGCCTTTGGCTACAAGGGCCAGCTTCCATGCGAGGTTGAACTGGGTGTTTGGTCAGCCAACAGCAGCCGGTGAACATATTCACGTAAACTCACCGAGTCCTGGACGCTCGAGTTCATACCCTGCTCAGACAGATACCAAGATGGTGAGTGTCAAGGGTCAAAAGCGAGAGAAACAGACTAGTACCTGTCCTCCCATAGGCGTATGAACGTGTGCGGCATCTAGAGCAGCATTGTCAGTTTAACGATGGCAACTCTGGAGTAAACCAAGTGCTGTGTACCTCCCACGACGAACCCGCGACCCTCCCCAAACTTATCCACCATCCTAAAGTTCGGTCTTAAAGAGGAGCGCAATACAATGAGCGCAGGACCCAGCGTGAACCAGAAATCACTTGCCTGTAATCGGTCACCCATACGACATCCCTGAATGCCTCCCTCCGCAGGCCAGTTTGTTCCACGAAAAAATCGAGCAGCGCGGTCGTGTCTGTGCTTAATTTTATGTGGTCAATGTTAGGACCCATAACGGCGAATTGGAAAGGGGCGTGGTCGAGCTTCTCGCTTGGCTTGAGAGATAATCTGGATGATTATCAATATTAGAATTTAGTGCTGGTTTGGCTTTGGAGAATGAGGATACGAACACTCCGCTTGACCTGTCTCCGAAATTGTGCCAGCCCTGCATTATGAGCTTGAATGAGCGTAGAAACTAAATATGGGAGAAACTCTATCGCACATCGGTGGAAAGGCCTTTGACGTGTACGTCCCCAGTGACCAAGTTCATATTTTCGCGATTTTCCCCAACGAATGTTAGACCTAACGCCTTACGAGTCACACCTGGAGATTGAAGAAAAAAATCAGTTTCATAGGACTCTAATGCGAGAGAACAGAACTGCACCACGAGCACCATCGCCGCCGATGAGCCAGTCAACCTCGATGGTCTCCGTATGTTCTTTCCCCTCCACAGATTTTGTCAAAACCGCGGTGACATGTTCAGAATCCTGTTGGAAAGTGGATAAAGCGGTCCCGAGCTCGACTTCACAGCCGTATTTGCCAGATGGGAGCGAAGAATCTCTTCCGCGGTGTCCTGGCCCATTATTTTAAATGTTCTCTTGAAAAAATGAAAGCGGATATTAAGCAAATACTAGTGGTATCAAATAATAATTATAATAACAACACATACCCAGGGACAGCTTGGGGTGGGTTCAGCCCAGGGCTGGATGCGCACAACGTTATGCACCTTGGCTGAGCCCTTCGCATGCTCGAAAATGTCGAAAATGAACGCTGCCCTCTGCGGGACTTCGTCCACGCCTAAAAACTTATATATTTCCAGGGTACGAGCCTGTTCATGATTAGCCATCGACTTTAACGTTGATAGCCACCCCAGGTGAATGTAATCAATATGTACTTACTGAGATGCCAGAGCCGCGCTGTCCGGGACGATAGGATTCTTCCTTCGCGATGATCCTCACGGGCACACCATTCTGGAGCAGAGTGAGAGCGGCTTTGTTTCGAGTTGACGTTAGACTAAATGGACAAATTCAACGCGGCTAAAGTGCTCACCTATCAGGCCCGCGGGCCCGGCACCAACGATGAGGATTTTGGGAGCAGGAAGAGACATGAGGAAATTGGGTGCACGAGGAGGGTATTGCTTTATGTTTGTTTCACTAATCAGCGAAGGAAGTGCCATTTAAGTACCTTCGCGATTAAAGCCATGGATTCGTAAGCGGCCAGCATGCAGTTGAGTCTGAAGCTTCTGCAGGTTCATAGTCTTGAGCCATCGGCCGCGCGCCGCGGAGCTGTTGGAACTCTGAGTGAAATAAGATCAGCATTATGCAACAGCAATGACCATAATCTGAAAACATGCGGGACTGCTTGTTCACTCGCAGCAGTATTGCTTCAAGCCTGACATAGATGTCGACTTCACACCTTGCTACATATCGGTTTGCGTCATTTTTCCAAGTCGTTCGTCAGCACGCCCGTTGGACACGGCCGTGATCTGTTATTCCACTACAGCAGACTCAAATTAGAGAAAACATGTGTTAGTTTGTACCATGTTTGTACGCTTTATCCATAGTGCTAACGATGTCGATTTTACTGCCCGAATTCCAGCCAGTGGTTGGTCGTCGGTTGCCAATGGTGGTAGGAAAAGCAAAGGAAAAGAGATAATGGGTCAAGAATTACGTGCTCCTACTACAGGCACCGTGCCACCAGGTTAAATCTTTTTCACTTCTTGCCAACTACTCTTCGCCATGTCAGAGGAAGGAGATCTCGAGCACATTGGTAGCCTGTGTGTAGATTACCCACAATATTAATGTTGCTCTGAAGACCACTAAGCCCATTCCCTCTATGTATAACCGGCTCGCGTGGACCCACAGCTCGGTCGATGTCCGCGAAATTCAAGTTTAAAGACAAGAAGCTTGCGGTTCACACATTGACAGAACGACTTGTCAAACGATGCATAAGATTAGTAGATACGAGAAAGACAGCATACAATTACATAGAACAAGGGCCGATGGATAAAGCGAGATCGAGAGGCACCCGAATGGTCTACTTTTTGGCCTTCTTTTTGCTCCCACTAGCTTCATCCGCCTGCATCGGGTGTATATGTCAATATTTTGAATGAATCCAGTGCATGAGGTGACTGACCTTGCGTTTGGTGCCCTTGGCATCTGTCGCCTTGCCCTTGCCCTTTGATTTTGCGTCCTTAGAGTCACCTTTTTTCGGTGACGTCTTTGGCACCACACTGAAGAACCCATCCAGACGCCCCTGTTGCTTGGTATTTAGGTACTTCGATAGCTTCTCTGCACCCTTCCGAACACGGTCCTCGCTGAGACTCATCAGCAACAGCAGATGTGGTCTGAGGAAAGCCTAGCTCACTTGAACCCTTTCTCCGTGACTAAGAACTGAACCAAGCCATCCACGTCAGGCAGTCGCCACTCGAGCTGGTGTTCATATGCATCAGTACGTGAACTTTGCCCAATGAGAAGTGACGCACTTCGAGATCCTTCGCAGGCGTAACATCCGGCGTCTCGAAAAGCTTCTTCGCGGCTTCCCAAGGCCAGTCTTCAGGTACCTGGACCCCTCCTTTCTTCTTCTTCTTCTTCTCACCGTCCTCTTCATCCTCGTCGTCACCTGCTGCATCAGCCTTCTCAGCTGCCCTAAGGACAGCAACATGTCAGCATTATATGCCGGAGACAGATGCAGACCACGCTCACTTTTCTCGCAAATGCTCGACGACACCTGCCAACCCCTTGTGCTCTCTGATAAGCTTCAGCCCTGATTTTGGCCCAACTCCTTTTATTGGCTCCAAGTAGTCGCAGCCAAGCAAGATACATAAATCGATGAACTACCGTTTGGATTAGTACAGTTTTGTGAAAGAGATCAAAGAGCATACCATTCCCATGTCCATCTCCAGGCCCTCAAGAGCGCGTTGAAGATTCACCTCCATAATGGGCGCTTTCTTAGCATCGCTGAAGGTAAGATGCCGGTAGAGAACCGAGCCTCCGAACGTAAGGGTGTCCATATCCTCCGAGCCAACAGCGTAGACAGCACCTTCGCGTGCTAAAGATGCACATTGTGCTGCAAACACGAACAGTAGTTGAGTTAGAGGTCACAAGGAGATGAGAAGTTGCGCACCTTCCGCCTCGCTAGGTGCCACGATCACTGGTATCCCCATCAGCTTCAGCAAACGTTTGCACTCGTCATTGTGTTCACGTGTGACTTTCACTGTTCGGCGAGAGAACCGATCTGCGTCCTCGGCGGTTCCTGCAGGTCGTTAGTCCGTACTTATGCCCCAAGGTTATGGGCAGCGCAATGTAATAAAACGCAGGTACGCACCTGTCTCTTTTGCTTCTTCGATATCCTCCTTCGCTTCCTCTCGCTTCTCAAACCGTTTCGACAGCTGTATGTCGATGTTTAAGAGGTGTCAAGGAGAACGCTACACATTACGCACCACGCCAGACTTCAGGTCAGGTGGCTTTCCATCGAATACATAGGCAGGTTTGATTCCATTCTCCACTATACGGATTGTTCGATAAAAGAATCCCATCAAGTGACTGAAGTGCGCGCGTTAACATATCATCGCCCACAAGCAAGGCACGGCGCACCTGGTTGTCTCTCCCGCATCATTCGTCAACATTTGGCCATCTTGCTGCCGTACTGCGATCATGAACTGGTATATTGACATAGACGCATCGATAGCGACCTTGCGGCCAAACAGCGTCTTAATGTCGTGTTCCTGCGAGAGAAGCCTAAGCGAATGTGCAACGGTTCTTTACTGAAAACGATTACGGTGATTGATTTGGGGGCATGCTCTGACAGAAGCGCGGTCAGGCCCTTAATACCCATAGTGGTCCGGAAAATGAAGAGTAAAGGGTATGTGTGGGGACGAGGCAGACGCGCTTGGCCAACGGCGCGTCGCAGCGGAGTCTATAGTATACCCGAGACCGATTCCCGAATGTGCTCAAGAGGCTGTATTCCAACTCCAGTTTCAACATCCCCTGGAACTTGCTGGAAGGTCTTACAATATGAATCTATGAATTTCAAAGACACTATGGGGGGGAAGGAACACATTCTTGAAGGACACCAATCAAGGAGCATAAGGCCGGTGTACGGGGATCTGCTGTGTGGCCACATGCATATGTTATCCACAGAAAATGCAAATCATCTCGAAATGTCTTGATATGATGGATAGAGCTGGATAGAGGTTGGCATTAACATTGGCAACAAGCTTAAGATAGATTTTGGAAGTTGGATAAAAATTTCTCTAAGCTGATGTTTTGGTAGAAAGCTCGAGCTAGACTTGTCCATAGTTTTGGTGTTTCAGAAAGCTTTAAGGGATTTCTACATACCTGGAATCACCGTAATCAAGGGGCATGTAACGCAGTGGTAGCGTGCACGCTTTGCAGGAGTCGTTTCAGCGAATCCAAGCGTGCGTGAAGTCCTGGGTTCGATCCCCAGCTTGTCCAATAACTTTTTGCATTTTACCACAACGAGTACTTCTAGCCTTGATCATATTTTCCACTGCAGGCTCAAAACCAGTCGCACGAGTGGAAAGAAGGGGATGACATGTTGAATGTGCACGCGATAAATTTTTCATTGTGTCAGTCACTCCTTCCTTTGGTATCTATCCGCCTAGGCAATCCCCACATTCCAACTTTCCACAGAACAGCTGGCAAAAGACGTTGGGTGACAGAAACATTGGACATTGTCCGCAGTGGCAATGGTGGGTAGGGGAAATGGCCCGGATGCAACTTGAACAGTGTTATGACAAGTTTCCACGGTACGGCTTTAATCCTTCGCCAACTGCTACTGCCTCGGTTTGGCCTCGGTGTGGGTTGTCCTTCGCATGTCTCATTCCTCGAAGTGCTTTGTGTTAACAATATTAATAATACTGGTGCTCTTCTAGATCTAATCAAACAAAAATCCCGCTTGTCGGCCATAATAACTGCACGGGATGACACATGGAGTATATCATCCGATGATATTGTCGGAAGGTCCGTCCTTTTGTCAGCGCTAGTCACTGTAGTCAGCGCCGTACCGTTGCGGATTTTCCATACACTGCAGTGATGCATATTCATAGTCAGCTATATACAAGCCAGCGGCCTATAAAGGCAGCCAAATTCAGCAGCAAATTCCTCACACATTTTCAAAGATCACAATTCCCTCATTCACTAGTATGCGTTTTCTCTCGATACTTTGGATCCCAGCCCTCATCCCAGCCGTATATGCTGCCACGGTTAACATTCATGACCTGCCGCCTGTCACAACCGCCTCTATTGGACATCTTCCCAACGGCTCTTGGGCCGAGAATTTAGCGGTACGATCCAATGGCCAGCTGCTGGTCACTTTGTTGGACGTCCCAGAGGTTTACCAGATAGATCCATTCGGATCCCACCATACACGCCTAATCAAGCAGCTTCCGGTCGCCGGTGGCTTGCTTGGTATCACCGAGATACAGCCCGACGTGTTCGCAATCGTCGCCGGTAATCGTTCGCTCCCAGGTTTGTAATATCTGACTATACGTGCATAATGCCGCTCACGCGTTCGTTTTAGGCTCGTTCTCCGTGTGGAAATTAGATTTGCAGACCACTCCAGCAAACTCCAGCAAAATCATCGACATTCCGCAAGGAGTCTTGTTGAACGGCGCTACCAACCTTAGTGACAACGGTACCATCCTGGTCGCAGACTCAGGCGCCGGTGTAGTATATCGTGTCGACACGAACACGGGAAATTACACAGTCGTAATCGACGATCTCACAATGAAGTTTGCCCCAAATGCCACTCTTCAAATTGGCGTCAATGGGATCCACATCCGTGGCAACTACCTTTACTATACCTCGTCGACCCAAGGCCTCTTCGCTCGTATCCCTATCCATCCGGACGGCACAGCTGATGGAGCAGCCCAGATCATCGCGCGCAACGGTTTTGATGACGACTTCATCTTTGATCGCGCAGGAAATGCATACGTTGCAACCAACTTACAGAGCACAGTGCAGAAAATAACGCTGGCTGGCGATGTAACTGTCGTCGCTGGTAACATCAACTCCACCTTGCTTGCCGGTTCAACAGCGACGCAGTTTGGCCGCACAGCTGCAGATTCATCGGTTCTGTATGTCACGACTGATGGAGAATTCACGAACGCGGCTGGAGAAACAGTGGTCGGCACAGGGCGCGTAGTAGCTATTCGGGGACTCGAATGAGCGGCGAGTCTTATTATGTAGTTCGTGAAACCCTTGCTCAATATTTCTTTGACCTTATAGTGGCATTATTCTTGCAATTGTTAATATTATCATTCGTGTCAAGGCGGTCACGTAACTAGCTCTTACCCATGGTTGTCACGATGACTCTGAGATTATACCCGTCTCTCCCTGCCAGTGGTGCCGAGTGCTGAGTACTGAGTTTAAGTTCCGTAGAGGAAGTTCTGCCATTTCCCTGTCCGATCTCGATACGTACTTTTTCGGTGGCGCAGGGCGTTGTCATTCACAGCTAATAAGTTGATCATTTGAAACCCAATACATTTTCCAACAGAGTCCACAAAAGTGAGAGAGATACAAAGTCACTACAAAACAACAGTAAGCATTTAAACTGGGCAGTTGGCAGTTGTGTAGAAAGTCGCGTTCCCTGGACCGGCTTGGATGGGGTCACATCTTTGAAAGATGAGTTTTGAGAAATTAGTACACAAGAGGAGGAAGCTTACCCGGGGAGTTTCGTCAGAGGGCCCGCAGTTGCCTCGGTGATGATGGGGTTAGTCTTGCAAGTCTCGGCGACAGAAGCTTCGATAACGGTGAGATATTTGCATGCAGCAGTATCACCCGTGCCGGTGGCATCGTCAGGGTTGTTGCAGTAATCAATGGCCTGGATGCCAATCATTAGCCTTCATAAAGTGTAAGTAATTGAGTAGCAAGCACATTTTGCAACGCAGTCTCGTCCCAACCGCTCTGGAAATCTCCGTGCACGGAGAAGCCAGTCGGGTCCCTGGAGCACTTATGTTAATTTTCGCTGCATGTTATTTAATCTGCCCCTTACCCAGTGGCGTAGACAAACGGCCAGTTAGGCTCAGTCCAGAGATCGACGAAATCGTTGACATCCCAAGTAATCTTCAATAATCGTCAGCAATTTGGTTTCGTAATAGACAAATGAACATACCTCATATATAAGATGCATGAGTCCAACGGGGTGTGTGTCAGGGCAGGCGCCATTGTCAAGTCCTGTCATGTATGCGACGTGTGATTGATGGCTCGGGGAGTCAAGATTCTATATTGAGTGAGAAATCGGTAGAAATTGTGGAGTATATATTCTCTGGTACTTACGACACCATCCCAGCATGATTGGAACTGAATTCTGGCATTTAATCCAGCCTCGCAAGTGGTGTTGGGGAACCCATAGCCTAGACATCGGGCTCGCGGTTGTGCATAATCATGATATTGAAAGATGCTCACCGTTATAGCCATCAACAGTCGACGTGTAACGAAGGCAAGAGTACTGAATGGCTGCTTGGGCCAGCCCAGCTTGAGAGTTATAATAGTCTGCCTCAGCAATACCCCTAAGTGTGCATGTATTAGCACGGTTTCAAAATGAACATGTTAGCGCGCCTACTGGCTGCTACGCGAACCAGCGCTGCCGCTGATCATCCTGAAACCGGGAGGGAATGCCTTGAGACCTGGACCGCCGTTGCTGACATCTAAATCTCCGCGGTTCTCATAATACACCAAGAGGCCTATATAAGACGATCAATAAGCATTTGCTGGTTCCATGAATTGTATGCCTACCTCCGTTTGGCACTTCGATGAAGCTACCATTGGTTGGGTCGTGGAAATACAGCTTAGGGAACCCTACGGCAGCTCAGAACAATGCTTGTTGCATAGTCCGCATTACTCACAATAGTTTGAGTAATCCTGACCAAACCTGTCAGCCCCCTCTCAAAAATAAAGTAGCAGACGGCACTGACCTGGGGCTGAACCTCGCATGACGTGCAAGAAGCCGAAACGAGGTCCTCGTAAGTACTATTGGCACCAAAACCTTTGAATGGAGAACAATCAATACAGACTCTATTGAAAAAGAGTAAAGTGGCTCTGACCGCTGGATCCGTGAACTTTGTAAAGCTTTGTATCAGATTGAAAGGAAATCATGAAATTAAATGACTCCTCACCGGTGTGTACGTGGTTTGAGCCAACGAGTCCGGGAGAGACAATGGGATCGATACGCTCGGTGACGAGAGGTGTAGTACATGCAACACGGAACCAAGCGTTGGCAAGGCCTGCGGACACTAGGGCAATGAGAAGGGGCGTGAAACTGTGGGAGACCATTTCGCTTGAAGACTATTCCTGAGCGAGGACTTGTTGAAGATCATTTGTTGAACCCTTGGCTTTATATGCTCAGTAATGTCCCTCCTATCCAAAAACTACCATTGTGATTGGTTGATTCCAGGAACTACGTGAGACGTGCGACAGAAGGAAAAGCAACCGCAGCCAACTGAATAGGATGCAAAGGCGTTAGTGCCGTGAATGGAAGTACTTCGCTGGCAAGTCTTCTCACCTTGAGGAGAAACATATTGGTGTCCGCCCATGAAGCAATCTATTCTGAGTTCATTGCGCATGTGGTCGTATACAGTGGTTTGAGTGGTTTGCTGGCAGTCGGGTATTTGTTCTCCAGATAGCCACGGCCGTTACATCCAAATAACTGCATCAATGGCGGAAAAACTTGCTCGAGTCACCTGAGCTTTGAAATTCTTCACGTCAGAAAAATGCTTCACGTCGGAAAAATGCCTCAGGCCAGAAAAATACCTCACGAAAGATCGTAAGGCCTCGTAAAGTCCATGATCGCGTCCTGTGTACATTTCTGGCCAAAGAAGGATGGTGTCATCATTCAGCTGATCAGTAGAACATGAACTTCGATCATGCGGCCGGTGTTGCATGATGCATAATGCGTCCCGCGCGACATCGGCCAGGAACTTGTCTAAGAGTGAAGATGATATTTCAGACGGTACTGCTCTGGTATGGTCCCCCAGAACGACGAAGCCGTGTCATTGGTAAACGAGAATCGCCAACATTGCTCACCGGCAGTTTTGGACTGGCATAGATACTGAGCATCATTTTGGCATCATTCTTCGAGTCTTGCCAAGATCACGGTGTACGGACGCATCACAGAAAGGAGCGTGAAAGCGTTGAGTTCAGACTGCGATACATCGGATCAGCAGCTTGTCACCTTTCACCAGCGCACAACTCAGATTGAACTCAGATGTAATCGACATACGCAGCTTGTACGCAGCCGTTGCGGAGCTGGAACTTTGGAAGCCGATAATAAACAAACCACAACAGGCAGGGGTGGCGCTTCGCAGTACGAGGGTGGCATATGCTTGCGCATGGGCAGTGAACTGCAATGCAAAATTGCCGGATTATTGTAGATAGGATTATATTCATTTACGCCGTTCAATCATGGTGATAATAATAAGATCTGAAGCCAGATT